ATGGGATTTCCCGCGTGCCTCAAAGGCTTCCTGGGCATCCTCAGTTTGGGTGGTTCCGAGGGGAAGGCCTTTGACACCTCCACAGGATTCCAGCAGGCTGAGCTGAAGATCATTAAGTCAGCAGATGAAAAGGCTTAGAGCTGAAAGAGGTGGTAAGAAGGCTTAAATTTTCTGCCAATTTTTCTGGAATTGACAAGCTCTTTAAGCTAGAGATGAGAGAACATATTATCAACACAATTAAATGGAAAATAAATCCATTGTGCTATTTAGAGGAGAAAAAGCAAGAAAGAAAACATTTGCTTTCACAAAGCAATTTTTAACCATTATAATTTGCTACCTTAGGTTTCAGCTGCCTGAAGTTTAGAAATCGTCAGTTAAATCAACTGACAGTATTGAATCTGCCCTGGTGTCAGGAGTTAAACCTTCTTATAGTCACTTTTTTTCTTTTATAATTCTTTTATAATGTGTTATTTTTGGATCAGTGACATTTTCTAACTGATTTGAGTCAGAAACCATCTGAATTTTGCAAATACCATTGTAATGTGTCCCTTGTACACGTGCTGCTTCCCACCTACTCCCCCTCTCCCTGCGCCCTAACAAGTGTCTGTCTCAGCTTAGAGAAAGATGGCTTTGCTCATAAGATGATGGCCTCATACATTTTGTCCTTATTGTACTCCTGTTATTATAATGCTCCTGCACTGACAAATCACAGCTGTGCTGCTCACAGGCTTTGGGACTTGGAAGATTTAATGCACAGCCTGTGATTGCCTTCAGGAAGTGCCGTGCATGTCTTGCAATCTTGAATACACTGCACAAGGTCAGCAAGGTTTGCGGTTCTAAACATCATCTGGGCCTTTCTCTGTGTTCATCTCTGTGTTCATCTCTATGTTCACCTCTGTGTTTCCTGTGGGGCTGTCCTTACGCTGACTTTCAGGACAGCAATCCTGGGCTGGGTTCCCCAGACCCTCAGAAGGGGTCTGGTTTCCTCGGCCGTGTTCTGCTCGGGTGCTCTCATGCCCAGAGCACTTGCAGGGGGAGCACAGAGGGGCCCTTTCCTGACACGGTGCTTCCACTGCATCCCAAGGCTTGTGATCACAGCCTCGAGCAGGACAGGCCGGGAAATGCCCTGTGGACAGCGCAGACAAATTGTAATGGATCAGCCTCGAGCTGTAATAAAGGAAGATTAATTGCCTGATCCTAGATGGTATACATTATTTATAGTATGGGTTTATATGAATGACTAATAAATTGTAGGAAGGGAGGCAAGTTTGAAAAAGACAAACAACCCACAGCATGGGTATCTTTATGTCTTAACTAAATATGTTTGAATTCATGCAAGCCTTGTACTGATTCCAGCTTCTGATAAATGCTTCCAGAGAAGATCTTTTGTGAGGAAGACAAAACCTTTTTTTTTTTTTTTTCCCTAGGTTTAGAGTTAATATCAGTGTGCTACAATTTTATATGCCTTAAGAGGGAAAAGCTTTTTTGTATAACTCTTACCTGCTGATTATCCAGCTTATTTGCTCATTTGAGCTTGACTGGCTGTGCAGTGCTCTGCCTTTTTAGTTCCTGAAACTGCACATACAAATCTGTGTATAGATCTCTTCCATCATCTTTACCAAATGCAAACCAAAGAAAAGTAGCTTGTCTATCACTTTACTTTATAGAATGCTGTGAATTCGTAAGCATTGTTGAGAAGCATTGACATATTTTTTAACCATTCCTGCCTTTTCCATTTTAAAGATTAAAAATTCCCATCTTATTTAAAACTTTAGAGAATCCCAAAAAGGATACTTATTAATCTTTAAAATATCCTAATAAGTACTGTATATAATCAAAATTATGGAACTTTTTTCAATCATGCGAATTTTGTTTTTCTTTTCTAGTTAAACATACAGAGTTTCATATGGCCTGAAATACACAGCATGGTAAAACATTTTTGTTGTGGTGTTTAAATAAATGCAGTGTGGCACTATTATGTTTTTGGAAACCTAAAATCCAACTGACATATCCCGAAGTAGAATCAGTAGCTCAAATAAGGCAAGACAAAATATTTCTGAATTTTGAAAATTCTCTTCTTTTGAAGACACTGCATAGGGATAGGAAAATATCAGAGATTTGAGAGCTGTGTTAACCTGTGGATAAACACTGGCTTGAACCGGTCTAATATTTTGTAGTTGTCCTTTTGTCTCTAAAGTATTCATTGATCATGTTACATATGAAGGTTTTTCCTTCATAATCTATTATTTTATGAAAGGCTGTAGAGTGGTTTCTGCAGTTAGTTCTATGGTAACATTTTACCAGCCTTTAGCAGGGAGAATATAAACAGCCCCCCAACCAGAATACCAGCTGCTCATCTCAGGATTAGAGATTTCTTATTTTAAAGCAAGTATCCAAAACAGTGCAAAAGGATCAATAATTTTCATGATGTGAAAATATTTGAAGAGAGATCATCTGATGCAAAGGAATTGCTTTGCATTCCCAAAGAGCAGGGATGTTTTCCATTATTTGTAAAATTTCCACACCACAGATCACACAAATCTTATATAGCCATAGTTTTACATATCTCCAAAATGTATCTCCAAGATAAGAGCTTGTAGATAATTATTTTATTTTGCTTTTGCTTTATTGTTCTTTTCCTCTTCCCAATACCAGTCTCTAAGGTCCAAACTGTAGCATTTGTTCATAATGCACTTTTCTTTGCTTCCCCCCAATATAATTTAAGGAAAGATGTTGCTGTCACTCATTTGAGTGCTGTTATTGCTCATTGGACACCAACTGGAGAAAGCTAAGGCTGGTAGAATTGCACTCACTGTATTCTGAGAGTTCCTTAAGTAAAAGTGCCATCAAAAGTATTCCCTAGGAATCAGTAAGAGCAAAGTTTTGATGCTTTTTTTGTTTATTTGCTTGTTTGGGTTTTTTGTTTGATTGTTTTTTTTAAGAGCTCAGACCCTTAACAGAATCAGGAGGAATGAAAAGCATTTGGTACTTGAAATTTGAGTTGCATAAGGAATTCCCTTTTGATGTGAGCTCGTGTTTACTGTCTCATTATGGTTCAATTGCATCTGCCTGCAGTCAAGGGATGCCCTTTGGCTCAGTGCAGCCTGTGTCCCTCCTGTGAGCCACACCTGAGTGCCACTGGAGCACACTGCTGTGTCTGCATGCTCAGGCAATTCACGTATTCCATTAACAAATACAGAATGCTTCAACTGCCCTGCAAACCAGAATCCCAAATGCCATAAAAAGCTCTGAAATTGCATCCATCACTTCTCATTTTTCAACATTGACAAGACTTTTGGCCTTCATCTATTACATAAACTCACCAATCTCTCCTCTGGCTGTACAGTCATTACAAGATAAAGAGATTTGAGATCCCTGTTTTCCATTTCACCTTTCCCTGACACATCCCCAGTTTAATCTTCCTGTTGCTTAGTTATTGCAAAAATGGGCAAAACCAACAACTGTGAAGATAAGTATGCTTTCTTCTGAAAGAAGATCTATTGCAATGTAGGAATGAACTCAAAGCTCCGAGATTAGTGCTAGAATATAAAATAATTCAGCTTTAGAAGGATCGGTCTCCCAAGTCCACAGTTTCCTAATGGTTAAACAAAGAAGCAAGAAAGGAACAGAATGAACTTCAATTTGCCGTAAATATGTTTGTATGCTTTTCCCAAATAGCCAGTGAAAAAAAGAATTTGTTAATTGCGCACATTTACCTGTGTCCAGAGCCCTCTGTGTTGTCTTGGTGATTTTTGCTGCTTTCTTCACAAAGGGAGAAACTTGAATCTCATTGATGTCTGGGGGTTTTACAGAAGACAAGACATGAAAGAGTTTAGGGATTATATCTGTGGATTTTGTTTGGTTTCATAATTTTTTTATTTATTTATTTTTTAGTTTGGTTTTAGTCTAAGTGTCATCTCTCCATCTTAGAGGTGATTTCTGTTAACTCACCAGGTATTTTCCTCAGCATCTGGTACACACAGCTACATAATAGGTATAGAAATTACCTTGCCATCTGAGTTTGCTGCAAGTGGGGTAGATATTCCTTGATGCAGAGCTCCCTCTTGCCTGGGGGAGTACATTCCTCAAACTGAAATTCATTTAGCTGTCACCATTGTATTCCTTATGTAGGAGTTCCAGTGACATAACATTCAGATTGTGCCTGCAGGAAGAAAGCTCAGTTTATAACCAGAGCAAAGCTAAGCCTCTTACATTTCCCCCTTCCTTTTTATTTTGCGTCTTCATCCTTTCCAGTCAGGGGGAGATGGATGGTGAGAGGGGTGTAAATGGAGAGGGTTCAGCAATAAGACAATCTGATGTTGTAATGCAGCCTCTCCTTAAAGTGTCTTTTGTGTGATCTTCCTATGTGCTTCAAAATCAGATATCCAAATGTTCAACAGCTGGATTTGAAGGACAGGTTTTTTCCAGAAAGGATTCAGATCCCCTGGTTAAATTGTGAAGAAGTGCAGACTTTTATCAGTAATTAAAATGCAGACATTTGTTTTCTCTATAATGTACAAAGCACAGAAGTAATTGTAGTATTGTTCCAAAAATACAAAGTGAGAAGGCATCCAAGAGTTGAGTGTTCTCACCTACCCTTCTGCTTTGTGTCTTGTCAAGTTGGGTTGCTCAGGATGCCCTTTCTCTTGTACCTGGGCTTTGCCACTGAAAGTAATTCCTTCAAAACTGTCTCAACCTGTTAGGCTGACAACAGGTCACATTACAATAACACATTACAAATATTTTGCAAATTGCCTTTTTACTTCAGTGTCTTAATTGGAGGGATGTCTGCAAGTGTTGGTTTTCTCATCAGTGCAGTAGAATGTGCGTGTCATTTTTCTTTTATATCTGAAAGTTTATTGTAGGGATTTTGTTAGTGGCTTTTGAGTAATACCATTAATATTGGAAGTATGTTAAATAATTTCTTTTTATAGATAAAATGAGCTGAATGGATATGAAACACAAACCAAATTAATTAGGCATGTTTTCTTCTTTTCTAGTGAATAAACACAAACCCTGGATTGAGACGTCGTACCATGGAATCATAACTGAAAACAATGACACTGTGATTTTGGACCCTCCCCTGGTTGCATTGGATAAAGATGCACCTGTTCCCTTTGCAGGTAGGAATGTACACGAGCAGCAGCATTTGAGCCTGTGGACTGCATTTTGAATTTATTGGCATTTGTAAGAAAGGAATTTCCAGTGTAATTTGAAGGGCACATGTAAAGGCTGTGTCTGAGTACTCAGGACCTGACTGTTGGCCCACAGATCCTGAAATGAGGTGTTTTCTACACTGAATTTGTTGTGAAGCAGACCAGAATAAAGAGAATAATACAGAAGGCACCCACTATCAATATATGTTTAATGAAAACACAATAATTACACAATTACACTTGAATTTGCTTTTATAGAAATTAATCATTGCAATTGCCTGAAGTAATAATACATAATTAATTTTGTTCACCAGTAACAGCCCCTGCTTTCTCTCTTCCTTTTCTGTTCCCTGGCTATGGACAAAATGTCTGACAAATACTTAAAGTTGCTCAAATCATATCTTACTGTGTAAGCACTTTATAACTGTCATGACTTTGACAGAAAATTTAAGCAAAAATTGAACATTTTTGCTCAGGTTGCTGTATGATAGATGTATGTCATATACAAGTTTGCATTTGTATTAAGTCTATTTTACCTGACACTTCTACTGTCCTGAGTCCCTTAAGCAGAATATGGGACTTCAGCATATTGCTCAAATTTTCTCTTAAATTCCCTCTTTCATTAAAAATACTTTTTGAAGAAAAGAGAGAATAGTAAAACTTGATAGCTGCTATGAAGGTCTTAAGGTGGTGCAGTTGTTAAAAAGATGGTATTGCTTAAGAATCTTCAGCTTTTCTAAGGAAAGGAACTGGTAAAGGTGAGTATCCTTGTTCTCGGGGAGTTGTCATGTTCAGGAAGCAGAAGTCCAAGTGCTTGTCTTAAACGGCATTTTACAGCATCCTGAAAGAATTGTTCTCAGTCCCTTTTCCCAAAAGCTTACACTGGCATCAGCGCCTACCCTGCCAAACCAGGGCTCCCAAATGGTTTTTATATATTGACCCCCATTTTAATATCAAGATTGTTTGTCACTCATGGTGCCCAGTGATTCTTGGCTGCATGAAGATCAATTCCTAGTGAAAAAATGCTCTTGTCATTTTTTTCCTCTTATCACTGTGGATGTTCCATCTTAGATTTGGTTCTTTTTCCTGCATTCCCTTAGGATCCTTCCAGGGATGTTAATCACGTGCTATTGTAACTGACACTGCAAACTCTGCTGACTGGGAATTTGTTAGCCTAATTATTTTCTTCAGCTTTTACATTGGGTGAATCAACACATTTTTCATTAAATAGTGATTTACTTTTCGTGTAGAAAATCATCCTTTGAAATACTGAACTTACACAGACAGACTGGCTTTTGTGATAAAGGTTACATTAGAGAGTAGCTTTAATTTAGCTTCTCCATTTATTGATTCGAAGTATTTGTATTTTGAGAAGTATCTACTTCTTACAAGGGTAAATACTTTCTGTGTGTCCCTGATGTTAATAGTTTATTTCCTGATAATATTTGGCCTCATGATCTGCAGCCCAGGTATAATATTGTTCAGGGTTAGTACTGATTGAATAGTACTGATTCCCTTCATTCCCTTGAAGGGCCTGCATTCTTTATGATTTTGGAAGAACCTCTCTGCAATTTAAAAAAAAAAACAAAAAAACCAAAAAACCAATTCCTGTCTTTTTAAATTGTTGGAGGAACTTACTATTTCTGTTGTAGTTTTTGATTTAATGTCATATACTTTTATTTGGTTTCATAATGTCATTACCTTATTAAAAGTTTTTATGGAAAATTAAATTTGCATCATGTGTTTAGTAGGAGAAAACTGAAACAGATACAAGTACAACATTAACAATATTCTGTAGCTGTACTTGTAATAGTGTGGTAATGTGGAATGTCTTTTATGGCCATATTTTATATAAATGTGGAAATTGCAGTTATATAATATATCAGTCTTCAATTGTAACAGAGAATCAGAGCTCCAACAGTTCCTTTATCATCAGGATAAAGGAACGGTTAATATTTTCAGTGTTTTGTGCAACTATTGGAGAAGAAAGAAATTCTAGTGCTTGGAAAGTTCTCCATGTTTGGTTGGTTGGTTGTTTTTTTAATGGGCTCGGATTCAAGAATATATCAGGGCAGTTTCTGATCTGTGCTGAAATGTCTGCTGAGATCTCCTTGAGCAAACTGTAGTAAGACTAACTTTTTGTGAATTCTTTCCCTGCAACAATAGCTGCAATAGACCCCTGCAATAGTTTTCAGACAGATGATTGGCTCTTCCATCAGGATTTGTGTTACCTTATAAAAATAAACTTTTTTTCAGTAGTACCAGCGTGCATGTGACTTTAAAACACACACACAAAACCTATTGACAAAAGGTCCCCTCCAACAAACCAAAACAAACGCCAAATCTCAAACCAAATAAAAAAGACAGCAACCCAGCTGCCGTGTAGCCATTCACTGCAGATGGGCAGGAGTTCTGCAGGACCAGAACTGGACCAAAACAGAAGGCACAGTGTCAGTTCCCCCCCAGGCTGATGTTCCCAGGGCACTCCTGTAGAGGGACATGGCTGGATGTTATCTGAACTGTGAAATCTCCCTGCTCTTCTGTTCTAGTTTGAAAGCAAAACCAGAGAGAGACTCCAAGTCAGAGGTACAATTTATTAGGAAAAGGGAAAAGAAAACCAAAATACATGCAGTAATGCAAAAGAAAAACCACTGATAAAGTCAGAATACAACCTGACACCCTGTTGGTCAGGGTGTTGGTAGCAGTACAGTTGGATTGGTAGCTGAAGTCCTCCTGGAGTGGCAAATGTGGTTCTGTTGGAGCAGTGATCCTGTGGAAAGGGTATAGTTTTCCTCTGAAGATCCAGTATAAAAGATGGCAATTCCTCTGGGAATCCAGTGGAAAGACGGTCTGCTCAGTCCCAAAACCCAGATTATATCCAGGTGGGGATGCTTAGCTCCCCCCCCGGGTGGAGCATCTCACAATGGGCTGGTATCATTCTCTGAGTCACGTAGTGGGTCCATTAAACAGAAAAGGCTCCTGGAGGGAGTTGTCTCTGAGTCATGTGGCTCCTGGAGGGAGTTATCTCTGAGTCATGTGGCAAGACATTGATGGGCCCATTAACAGGAGATAAGGAAAAAACGGGCGCCCTTCCTGGTTTCAGCAATTCTTGAGGATGGGAATAGGAAACATTTTTATATTGTAACCTAGGGCATCTTCTTAATGGCTTCCCTTTGAAGTGTTTCAGTGACAGGTTTAGGGAAATGTACAGGATTCATCACTGTGACAGGTCATGGTAGGGGAAACGCCTATTTATTGAATAAAATTATCTACATTTATCTACTAACTTATACTTACTTATTCCATATTTATATGTTGCTAGTGAGGGTGTAGTTCTTTTGGACATGTGCTTAACTTAGTCCTTGTGTTTGCACCATGCTCCTTGCTGCTTGCCCTGGTGTACAGGTAGCTCATGCATTTCGAATTTTTCACCTGGGCAAATAATTTTTCACCAGGTAACTGCTTTGTTACTAAGAATAACCAAGCTGTTAAGAGGCATTTGCTATTCAGTGATTTCATGTGGCAAGACATTGATGGGCCCATTAACAGGAGATAAGGAAAAAACGGGCGCCCTTCCTGGTTTCAGCAATTCTTGAGGATGGGAATAGGAAACATTTTTATATTGTAACCTAGGGCATCTTCTTAATGGCTTCCCTTTGAAGTGTTTCAGTGACAGGTTTAGGGAAATGTACAGGATTCATCACTGTGACAGGTCATGGTAGGGGAAACGCCTATTTATTGAATAAAATTATCTACATTTATCTACTAACTTATACTTACTTATTCCATATTTATATGTTGCTAGTGAGGGTGTAGTTCTTTTGGACATGTGCTTAACTTAGTCCTTGTGTTTGCACCATGCTCCTTGCTGCTTGCCCTGGTGTACAGGTAGCTCATGCATTTCGAATTTTTCACCTGGGCAAATAATTTTTCACCAGGTAACTGCTTTGTTACTAAGAATAACCAAGCTGTTAAGAGGCATTTGCTATTCAGTGATTCTTACCTGCCCTTAGTGCTTTGACATGCTTTCTGTACCCATTCCTATGGTGTCCCTTATAGTTTAAATGTTACTTGTGGCACAGGCCTACTCCAAACTGCAAACAGTGTTTTGGTTTTCACTTATGGAAACTTAATTTTTTCTCCTAATACCTCTGCCTTTTTTCATCACCATGCCTACTAAGGTAAGTCTGTCAACCCCTTCTAGGAGTCCACACATTATGGTGCACGTCAAACCTGAGTGGTTACAGGAGAAAATTACTGTAATCTGCACCTTTTTGCACCTCCATCTAATGTTTAACATCGAGGGTGATGACAGGAGAAAAAGGAGTCTTCCATGCAGTTACCTTCCTGACAGGTCTGTGTTTCCAGGAAAGACTAAGGAGAGACTAACAGGACTAAATGTGCCTGTGAAAACGCTGGCTGTCAAATGTGATCAGCATTTTTCATAACTGGAGCACAAAGACTTCCACAAGATTGCAATGAATAGCTTTTCATGTCTCTTTATCTAATGAATTTATTGTGAATAATTGAAATATATGTAAAGTCCTGGTTCTTAAAATTATCATGGTATAAGCATACCTCACTTTCTCTTTTTTACGCGATTGTATTTTTTGTCTCCTAGTTTGGAAGGAAAGCTTGAAAATACCAGTATAAGCTTGTAAGTGTGAGAAGTTTCAGGATCAGCAGTTTACCATATTTCAGTTTTTCAAGTCCTGGCCCAAAAAGGATTTTCCCAGACTGGTGTTGAAATACAACTGACCTTTAAAACTCACCATGGCGTCCTGGAGCCTTTTGCAGGATATCAGAGACATTCCCTGACCCTTCTCCCCTCCCTTTGGCCAAAAGATACCCCCAGAAAATGAACCCCTACAAAACCCACAAAAAAATTGGAACCATTCAGGCTTAGAGGTAGTTTGGCTAGAAACAAGGAGGGATCTACTGAATCAGTTTGTCAGGATTCGGTCCCT